TCAACTCAGAATCACGCGAAGATGTCATGTTACACAAATACCACCACGGTATGACACTGTGTATGATATGAAAATGAAAATGGGATGACGTTAACCACGTAAAGAGAGATGAGAGAGAGACGTGTCCCGGGTTTCCACGGGACACAGAGCAGATCTGGACCGTTTTCCTGTCATGTAGAAAACATTAAACGGTCAGTCGATGCGGCTGCAACATCAATGCCATCGACAGACTTAATAAGAGCCCGGGACAGACAGAGTAATGGTGAAATCAATTGTCTGTCTGTGGGAGTGGGGAGGACAGCTGCTTCCACCGCTCTTATCAGCCGGCCACCGCTGACCAGCGCTGTCCATTAAGGCAGCAGGCCCACGTCAGCAGATGCTGTCCCATTCGGAATATATCCACTCTGGAAAAGCTCGGAAATGACCTGGACACGCGCAAACGTGATGCTAACAAAAAGAGTCGAGACCACGAATTGGCCGCCGCATCATTATTTGATTAAATCGGAAAAGGGAAACAGAGACGGTCCGGTCTCATCCCGAAACCCCCGAGGCAGGCCTGTCAAACGTTGAATTCCTCCATTTTCTACAGCGTGTGTGTGCACGGGGGTGTTATGGAAGTGAAGCTGGGCATTGAAAGAGAACACGATGACAGGAGGGTTTCACACTAACCAGCCGACCACGCTGAACCCAAAACACACCTGAACCGAGATGGTTCAAACTGGGAATCAAAACACACGAGTTAAAAGACAACTAATCTACAAAGAAATAAAGAAACATTTGTGCTATTTGCACAAATCCTTTTTAGGATTTTGCTTTAAATCCTTTATTTTGCACTTATTCTTAGTACAGTTGCCGGGTATTGAGGTCTTTTATGAGGATTTGTGAGATATTGAGAACATTTATGTCCTTCTCTCGTTGCTTAGAAGGAAAACTATGTCAATTATTTGGCATTATATACATTGATATCTGACTGTAATACTGTATAGGTGATCTTCTTCTTTTTGCTTATGATTGGCCACTGCACACCCACCATCAGACTCTAATATTCACAGCTTCAAATGCACTGAGAAGGGGTTGTACTAACTCTGATCCTGCTCTGGTTTCACCTCTGTTGAACTCTGAAGTCTTTAGCACGAGTGGTGGGTCAGAGGACCGACAGAATGACATTACAACGGGTGCTTAGAGGCAGGAACCTCCCTTAACTTAACTGGCTCATCTTTACAATTAAGAATCAAAAATAATGAGGCTTCAGAGCTGTCTGCTTGTCTGCCTTCGGGGCTCTGAGGGCCCCGGACAGAGAAGGTGAGAAGAGGAGAGGATTCAGAGTCAAATGTGAAGAGACACAAACAGTGTTTGATGCTTGCAGGGGGGAAAGAATTCCACAGAGGGTTGGAGTTTAAGTTACGTTTTCAGAAGGTTTGACACCTTTGAAGGGTTGTCCTGTCCCATGGGCTGTGCCAGGAAAGACGCTTTGGGTTCACGGCTCACATAAGCTGCTCTTTATGTGCTTGTCTGCTTTGCTTTTGGCCTCTTGAATTTTGAAACGAAAACAGAATATTCTCAGCTAAATATCCAGTCAAGACCCATGATAGAAACAGTCGACTCAATTCAGTTTTTTTTTAGCATGTTTTACAAATCGGTGGAGACAGATTTAAAAGCCTAGAGTCCTGTTGTTCGCCTAATTTGGCCCAAATTGGTCCAAGTTGGTCATATGCCTTTTGATTAAGCTCACAGCTCCCTATACTGGCGCCCTATCCGGGCTATTCCCCGCCTCTCGCCCAATGACATCAGGAATAAGCAGGATAGAAAATGAAGGGATGGACAGTTCCTTATCACTTCATCACATTTTTGGTGGTCCTGTCAGAAAGTTTAACCTTCACACAACTGTAATTAGCCTGTTTCTGGCCATCAATTAGCCCCTCTGAGTGCTGTCGGCCTCCCCATCATTCATTCACCTGTGGCCAAAAGGCTGACGTCTGCGGAGTGAATGGGCTTTGACAGCTGGGACGGCATTACCCTTCCCCTCTCGCCGCATCTCTGCGGCCGTGCAGATAATGCGACTCGTTAATTAAGCATGCAGCAGATTAATTAAACTGATACAGAGGTGCAGGTTCACCATTGTTGTCATTGCCAAGGTGAGAGGAGGCAAACAAAGGCAAAAAAACGAATGCGCACGGGTTTAACTCTCTTCCCTTACATGACTTCGTGTCACCCAATTTTAATCTATTCTGTTTATGAGAAATCCACAGAAATTTGCAAGCGCACTCGTACTCGCATGCAGTGAGGTGGATTAAAAGGGTTTGTTGTGATCCGTTTTGCTGCATAAAGGAAAAGATGGTTTGATGAAACTAAAGCTCAGAACTGTGAAGAAAAGTCATGACAAGACGGAGGAATACCAAACCTCCATCTTTCTTTTCCTTTTCTTAAAGATAAATCTATCTATGGATTTACTGTTTTACACTCATTAGCGGGTTGCTTTTGCAGATCACTGCATGAAAATGTCAATCCAGTCTGTTTGATCTTTAAGATATTTGAACTGGTGGCTCTAATGAAATCCTGCCGACTATAAAAGGGAATGTTTGGAGTGACCATCTCACCGGTCGTCTTTGAAATAATTTACTCGTTCCTCTTAATCAAAAAAATAATCGCTTTTATCTGGGAAAAATACGCTGGGACCCACAGGCCACATGTCGTGTGTTAGTGAGGTCTTTAGAACAACAAAGACTGCTTCACTGAGAGCTGCCGTTGCTTTGAATTGTTTGTCTGTCTAAGAAGAAAAACCTCCAGCCTCTGTTTTATTCATTCAAGTCACAAACCCTATTCTTAGCATCCAGCCTAACTTCTTTTTAAGTATGACTAGCATTTCCTGTCTTGTAACAAAGGATAATTTATTGCTCAAAACTAATGTGGACCAAACAGAGGCACGCTTGCATGAAGCTGAAGATTACATCTGAACATGGACACAGCCATTGGGTCTAAGCCTGCAAATCAGTTTGGTGTTCGCTTTAAATGTAAATCCCGACGACTGCTAGCGGCTGCCTCCAAAACCCTACCTCGTGCTCAAGAGACCCAGGGAATCCGTATAATGCCATTAGCTGAATTCACCTCCTTCAAGAATAATGATTTAAAAAGGCTATTCTTTCCTTTTTTTTTTTGTGACTAATGAGTTACTAATGACTTACTTGCAGCTTAGAGCCCTCTCTTTTGAAAGAATTAGGGAGGAATTCTGGCTGGAAGCTGCTCTAAGACACCAAAGGTGTTACAGCACTTTCAGGGAAGTCTATGTTACGAATTCATTATGTTATGCCAAGACTTTGGTAATCGAGCGTGGGATGTGTTCTCGGTCAGATTACATCAACTGCTCTGCATGTGCAGGTACCGTCTGACATGGAAGCGTTCGGCCCGTTTCTTCTGGGCCTTGCACTTCAATTTTTGGAACACATCTTGAGATAATCAACAGAGTCCATGCTTCATCAAACCGAGAGAAAGACATCAGTTACTGAGAACTTCAACTAGCTCACAAAGCCTCATTAAAGAAAGAGTGTTTTCGTCCTGTCGTGTTTTTGAATTTCTCATCTGACAATATCTACCTCAAGCCTTGGAATGTCTCACAAATTCACAGCTGCCGACAAATAAAAGGAGCTTGTCCTAGTGGTTCTGTGCATTTCTTATAGATGGCCTGTGCTTGAGGCTTGGCAAGATGGCTGATGTTGATACCACAGATCTCCCAGTAATCCAGTTAACTAACAAGGTAACGATTAAACAAATGTCTCGCTCGAGGTGTGAGCAAAAAACGTGGTGCATCTATGCAAATAAAGCTACATGATTAACGATATGATATTATTCCATGAAGGCAACCGCAACATGGCCAACGACGACCACCTCTTTACAGCGTTACCGCGGTGGTAAAAGAGTTTTAGTGATTTAACAATACACTCGCTCTGGAAAAGCTAAAATAGCAGATAAACCCCAAATTCAAGGAGAACCAGACGAGAGGAACCTTTTTCCCTCTGGATCATCGTGAGTGTTTCAGAAGACACATTCATACGGCACAACACAAATGATGGAAAAAGGGGGGAAAGCTGAGCTGAGTTGAGACAAAGTGACGCCAAACGTGCGGATTAAGCCCTGGCGGTGACAGGTGTGGATGTCTGACACAGCGGGAGCTGCTCAAAAGCGTTGAGCGCTCCTGAGCAGTGAGTGACGCGTGGCGGCGTGTTTTCCACCTTCCTCTGGGGGCTCATCGTCTGATCTAAAGTAACTGTCTCACACTGACAAGAAGACACGACGCTAACAATCAAAATAACTCAATCACGACTGTCTCTGGTCCAAAAGTCGGTTCGATTCGTTTCAAAAGACTTTTGCCACGTATCAGACTCCGGTACAGTGTCTTACAAAGGGGCAAACCCAAAGCAGCAGAGTCAGGAAATAAACACTAAGTATTCGTAAAAAATAACCGTGTGTTCAAGAGACAAAAGGCTCAAGTCAACAACGCGTCATCGTTGACTTGTCTGACTTCGATACGGCTTTTTCGATGATGTCATCCATATTTACAGTAGGTACTAAAACATCTCTCCGAAGAATGTTCAGGGTGGAACTCAAAAGTTATCTTTTTTTTTTTTTTTGCCTCCTCAAAACAGGTCAGCGCGAACCCATTTTGAGTCCAAAGGAACCGGATCGAGTAGGTAGATGGGAGACAGAAAAAGCTAAGACCGGGGGTGGGGGTGGGGGGGGGGGGG